CGCAAGGAGAAGGCTGCAGCTCTCCTCAAAACCCGTCCGCAGATGCCAAATAAAAATGTGGCGCTATTCACGAAAGATATGATTCAACTCCTGACCCAGACATGCCCGTGGAGAAGAAGGTCCGTCTGCTCATGTGGGGAGTAAATTAAGTACTTATCGCCGGGCTGATCAGAAACCCGCCAAAAAACTGTCACCGAATTCATTTCGAAAGCATCTACGATTGAGAAGACGCTCGAGAGGCAGACACTGCAAAACAAGTGTAACTTCTCGTCTATAACCTACGTCGACATCCAAGTGTTAGGAACTGCCAACCTGCGTGAGACAACCAGAGCAATCGTGCAAGAGCTGCGATAATTGCTTCCATCAGCGCAGCCTCGCGTGAACTCCATCGCGGACGTCGTACGCCAAAACATCCAGCAATCGCTGGGCGTTCCATGGCCTCCAGAGCCGCAGCTGGAAGTCATGAGCTATGCTGCTGCAACCCGTCGTCACGTTCCTCTTCCACGCCCACGCAAAGACACCAACCCGTCGCACTTTCGTCGCCAGACACCATCGCCGCCACCACCACCACCGACGCCCTACTGTTCGCTGGCTGGACAGCGCAGCGTGCCGAGAAAAACTGACGTTTGGCGTGCACCTGACAACTGCCTGCTCTGCTACCACTGTGGAGAGGCCAATCGCACCTACCGCTGTTGCCAGTACTGACAGATAGGTCTACAGGGCTTCGACGTCAACGTGCCGTGTCTACAACAGGGCGAACAATTGCATGACATCGCCAACTACTTCACAAGAGCGCAGTCGATACCCCGGAGACCTTATTATCCCCCGTTGCCAGGCCGCTATGGCTCACCGCATCGCGGGCAGTGCCGCTGCCCTGCTCGGGGCCAATCTCCAAGCCCTTACTCGGAAAAATAAGAGCAGCAACCGATGGAGATACGGTTGCTGTGCGACAAACTACCAAAGATCCTTCGCCGCCGCCATTACGACGTCGCAACGAAACCGAAAGGAACCTTTGCAGCCAGAAGACGTCACGACACAACGGGGAAGCAGCAGAGCAAACAGACGTAGCAATGATACGACGCCACAACCCAACCTCAATGAGCGACCTCGACGCAATATTTGACGGCCACCTCGTCACTGCTCTCGTCGATACTGGAGCCGAATATTCTGTCGTCAGTGGGCCTTTGGTGACAAAGTTGAAGAAAGTGAAGACTGCGTGGCAAGGCACCGAAATTCAGACTGCTCGAGATAATTTAGTAACGCCGACTGGAGTCTTCACAGCAAGAGTCACCATGAATAGCCAGACTTATCCTGCGAGCTTTGTAATATTACAACATTGCTCCAGAAGTGAGATCCTTGGGTTGGACTTTCTAAGTCAACACGGTGCTGTCATGAACTTGAGGTCTGAGTAAATCCTACTAACCTCAGAAAAGACGCCGCCGACCCCTACAATGCCAAAGAATCACGAATTGAATGTGCTGTGAAGGTGGGAAGTGGCAGAAGAGGAAGCATTTCAAGCAATGAAACGACTCCTCCAGACACCACTGATGCTTGCGCAATTCGAGAGATACGCCGAAACAGAAGTACAGACTGACGCAAGCAGCATAGAACTCAATGGCGAGAACTGATGACGTGGAAAGGGTTATGAGTTATGTTAGCCGGTCGTTATCCAAGGCCGAAGCCAACTATTCAACAACAGAAAAGAGTGCCTTGCTATTATCTGAGTTTCGTCAAAGTCTCGCCCCTGCTTCTACGGCAGGCATTTCGAAGTTGTGAACGACCACCATGCCTTGTGTTGGATAGCTAACTTGAAAGACCCTTCGGGTCGCCTCGCAAGGTGGAGCCTCAGACTTCAAGAAGTCGACGTGACTGTCGTTTAGAAGTCTAGAAAAAAACACTCTGACACAGACTGCTTGTCTCGTGCCCCCGTCAAACCACGGCCGCTTGACGGCCTGGGAGAGGACGGTTTCTTGGGAACGATAACTGCCACCAACTTTGCCAAGTAATGACATTACTGAGCGAACTGACTTGTAACCCAGGACCCTTGTGGAATAATTCAAGGGTAACAGTGCGACTGTTTGGAATGTTTTTAAAAGAGGACTTGAGTGATTCATCTTGCGAAACCTCGAGTTCTCTTAAAGAAGAAGTGCTTGCCCCTTCAAGCCAACCACCTTCTCGTGGCTCCTTCAGCAGAGAGACCAGAAGTACTTGAGGCCCTATGCGACGAACCGACGGCTGGACACCTCGGTGTTTCCCATACGTTCGCAAGAATACAGGCAAAGTACTACTGGCCACGACATGCCGCCGATGTCACTCGTTACGGCAGGACCTTCTGCGACTGTCAGCGACGAAAACCAATGCCGACTATGCCAGCCGGATTTCTTCAGTGCATTGAGCCACCTCGCCAACCGTTCCAGCAAATCGGCATGGACTTACTGGGGCCCGACGTCAAATTCTGGGAACAAATGGATAGTCATAGCTACTGACTACCTAACGCACTACATTGAGACAAGGGCCCTGCACAAAGGCAGTGCCTCCAAGGTAGCAAAGTTCTTCATCGAGAACATCGTCCAGCGTCACAGAGCTACACAGGTCCTCATCACCGACAGAGTTACAGTCTATACGGCGGACCTAACACAAGTGATCCTGAGGTACAGCCAGACAAGTCACCGCCAGACCACCGACTATCATCCACAGACCAACGGCCTCACCGAACGTCTTAATACGACCATCACTGATATTCTGGCCATGTACCTTAATGCCCAACACGAGACGTGGGATGCAATACTTCCATACGTGACCTTCGCATTGTTATGACTCGCACCGCCACTGACACTGTTGCGTAGTGCGCCGAGGTCACAGGCCGCCAAGATTGTTTGGTAGCGCGTTTCTCAGCTCGAGGGTGCATCTGCACCGAGCTGATGGACAAGCGGACAAGACGACGGTGAGTTAAGGCAAGAATGTACATATAATAAAGGCGTTACATATTCGGCACTGGGGCTGACGGCTTAGGGACTGGAAGAGCCGAATTGTCTTCGGACGCCCTATTGCTGTCGTATTCTCCCTGACGCATAGGTTGGCTGCTTGGCAACGCGCCGCTTGGCTTTTTTTTTTTTTTTGTAGGGCCCGGGTGATTTCTTACGTCAGCAACGTCCAACTAGAACCATCGCTGGCCGTGGTATCAGAATCCTCCAATCAGGAACCACCGCTGGGCTGCATTCATCAGCGAGCGCAATTGACACGCGTTGCAAAAGACTCGCCAGACTGGATGGCGTCGAATGCATCATCGGGCTACAATCGGGCCCGTGGGTTGAGGGAGCTCGCCGTGTGTTGCGTAAGGCACACCAGCGCCGCTAAACTAGATGACGTCATTGCGGTGGTGACGTCAGGCGAGCTCGCTTGCTGGCCTTGACACTGGTTGCCTTCGTAGAAGCAATAATGTTTCGTCTGGACTACCAATCATAACAGCATGCAACACCACCATTCAAGACACCACGCAGATGACGCTGTACAGGTTGGTTTATGGAAGGACCCCGGCAATAATGCTCGATGCCATGTTATCCAATGTCACCGACGAAAAAAACCTCCATGTGAGTGAGTACCCTCAGCGCGCCTAAGAAGCCTGACAACTCGCCCGCATTTGCATCATGAACCAACAGATGATGGACAGCCGTCATTACAACCATCGGCAACGCTTCGTGGAATACCAGCCTGGTGAATATGTTTGGGTATGGACACAAATACGCTGACATAGACTTAAGTGAAAAACTTCTGCGATGGTACTTCAGACATTACAGTTAGTTCAACGTCTCAGGCCACTTGACTAAGAGGTTGTCCTCAACGGCATCACGAACTCTCAACGGCGCCGATCCCGACCTGAAGTTATCCATGTCCTACGCCTCAAGCTGTTTCATGCGCCTTAACGAGCTAAAAGAGTAGATTTTGTTCTTGTTGTTATCGCTGTATTATAATTTATTGCTTGTATTTTCTTGCATTATTATTGTACTTTCTTCTTCTGTTAAAGCATCAGGACGATGCCTTTTTAAGAGGGGGGCAATGCCACAATCTTTCCTCAACTTTTGTTATCACCCCAATACACTGTACGTAATTCTAGAAGCTTCAGGACTGTAGAAGATCAGTTAGGATCCCGCCCACTTCGCGAACATTACAGATTATTCTGGAACCTAGTGTCCACTAGAGATAACGCTAAAATATTCGACCACACTTGTATAAATGCTGCTGCGCTTCACCGCTTGTCAGTTGATGGACGGCCAACGCTCTGTTCACCGCTATTTGTACCCGTTGCATTGAAGTAATGTGACTCAGTTTCCTGACCACAAGTTCTGCCGAATAAATAGTTCCATCTTAGCATTGAGACTGCTCCCTTTGTGCACGTCACGCCCTCGTGACAATATTTATGATTTTGGGGGCCTCGAACAGTGTTCTGCCTGCCTATTTTTGGCGCCTAATACCGGGTTTTTTAGTGCCTATAAATCCGGCCTCTACCCCTGGCATAATGCAACTCACAGCACAAAAAGACTGAAGATGGCAAAAAAGTAATGTTTCTTTTTTCACGAGTATTTCTGGCTTTGGGTTACCTCTTGGAGCCACACCACACATACGTGCTGCCACATGTCAGCACGTTTTTATTTGAGGCGGTGCTGCGCCCTTCTCCCTATGGGAGAGAAGGCTCAAGAAGCTGAGCGCTCTCTCTCCAATGGTGAGAGGGCATGACATTGTGTCAAAAAGCTCAGTGCTGACACACTGCAAGCTTATACGTGTGGTCAGGCCTTAAGATGTTTTGATATGTAAAGGTTCAAAAATGCACAGGATGCCTCACAAATCCCCAAAACTTTAAATGTGACCCATCCAAGCTATGCTGCTTTTTGTTCAATGTACAGAGCAGGCAGCAGCAAAATGCCCTGTTGTCAGGGGGTGCTGCTGTTCACGTCCCCTTCAGCTCTAGGCAGCAGCAGCAGTAGTGAACAAGTGGTGCTCACTGTGTGGGTGCCCCGTGACGCCACCATCACTCCAACAGGGGATGCCTGGTGTCCCTGGACAAAGGTAGCACCCTGTGGTGGCGTTCCCAGGAACTGCTGACCCGGCAGCAGGGTAGCCAACTGCTGTGATTGCTGCACAATCATCATCAATCAATAAATCAGATGTCACCATTAATCAATCATTAAACTTTACTAGTATTGCTCCATGGTTTATGCTGACCTGTCATACAACCTTTTCTACTGTAGGGAGCGCCTTATTGTGTACTTTTTTTTCGCGTGCCGAACAAACGACTGTGGTGGTTGGCTCACAATTCTGCATAGACCCTCCAGCACGTGGTGGAAGCTGCGTAATTCCAAGTGATCTCCCCGCCCAAGTCAAAGCAACCAGTCTTCAGACTGGTCCCCCCTTTTACAAAGAATGAAAGCGTTAGCCACCATGACCATCGCCACCACATACCTTTCAAAATTTTGTGCTATGTAGCCATGCTGTGCACGCACTTTTTCTAGTTGATGGCATTGCGTATTGAGCTTGCTTTTGAAAACATGTCAGTGATCAAGTGTTTTTGCACTGCAGAAGAATGGGCACATTATTTAGAGCATTTTTATAACAGTGGGTGCAAACCTTCCAAATAAAAGTACCCTGTTCTTGCCACCAGCCAAAAAAAAAAGTCTTCTCGGGTGGTAACACGAAAAGACTGTGTGCTGCCAAGAACAAATAGTGTGCACGAAAGACACTTCGCTCCCCATTTCATCCTCGAAAGATGATCTGCTTATATTGATGTATGGTCACGTTTTAATGTCGGGAAAGAGAGCAAGGTTCGCCAAAGATGCAGTGCCGTCTGTTTTCAAAGTTGCTCTGGGCTACATTTCGAAAAAATCAACAACCCTCGAAAGAAGGAAATGTGGAAGACATGTCGCAAGCTAGCCTGCTCGTCTACACTCGGAAAACACTGTGAAGAAACTCGGCCTCGATCACTCGTAAAAACAATAGGGACAGATCAAAGTGCTGGCGTTGTAAATCTGCTACACTATTACAAATATATCTGCATGCGCTAGTATTGTCGATAACTGAAGAATAAGCAGGCCGAGAAATGTGAGAAATGACGAATCTAGCCTGGGAATTTCTTAGGAGCACTGATTTTTGGGCAAGTTGGTTTTCCATAGCAGAACACTCAATCACCCACACAGAAGAACAGGGCAAGGTGGTGACAACACAAGCGTTTACTGTCAGCTGATCATTTATTCACAAAATTGCTTATTAAGGAAACTTACTTTCATGACGTCACATGAAACTAATGCTGGTATCATGTGAACATGCTCAGAAATGGTGTTTTATTAGAGGACAAAATAATGGAAGGCGCGCTTACACATGACACATCTGCCTTTGTAAGCAAATCAGCCTCTGATTCCCTAACGTTAAAGGGATAGTAAAAGCAACTATTAAGTTGACATTGATTGTTGAAACAGTGGCCCAGAAACCTCGTAGTGTTTCTTTTGTGCCAAGGAAGGGCCTATTTTGAAATAAAATCACATTTTCGTGGTCCCCATCAGGTTAGCACACTTCAAATTACCCGCCTCAAGAAGTGGACCGACCAGACCGACTCACGTCACTTTTGCCATTAAAGCCGGGCACAATGTTGCCCGGCTTTACTGCGCTAGTAGACCCAGATTGAAAGCAGCGGGAGCCACAGCAGCAATAACGGCCATTGATCAATTTCCCACTATTTGTTTCAAAATTTACAGACATTTTTCGGTTTAACTGCACCCCACTAGATGGCACCACATTCAGTTCAGTTCAGTTCAGTTTATTACCTTAAAGGCCCCCCTTTCTAGGAGGAGCATTACATAAGGGGTGGGGTTTTATTTAGGTTAACAATAAGCAGTAAAAGTTGTTTTAGCATTGAAGATGATCAATAATACGGTCTTGAAAGGCAGATGATGAGGCGATGTTGGCGATGTCCCTGGGGAGGCCGTTCCAGTCCGTGGCTGCTCGAAAAAAGAACGAGGCAGAAAAAGCAGTGGTGCGCGATGATGGGCGGGAAACCTGAAATGGATGACTGGTTCGATGAGATATGCGTGCTGCGGCTGCTATATAAGGTGGCTGATTGAGAGAAGAATGAAATAATTTGTGATAAAGCACAAGAATTGCAGTGCAGGCGTGCAAAGAAAGGGGTGGCAGTCCAGATTTCGCTTTCAAAGATGAACTACTGATATCGTATGAGTAAGATGAGTGAATGAATCTGGCAGCACGGTTTTGTACCGCTTCTAATGCTTTGATTAAATACGCTTGATGTGGGCTCCATATGGCAGATGCATATTCTAATTTCAGTCTGATTAAAGATTTGTACGCAAGTAATTTTACATGTAGGGGGGCTGGGCGGAGATGGCGTTTGAGAAAACCAAGTGCTTTATTAGATGCTGAAACTACATTAGCGATGTGGGTACGCCATGATAAATCATAAGACAAGGTTATTCCGAGATATTTATAAGATGGTACTGATTCAATTGAGGTGCTAACGATGGAATACTGGAAGTGATATGGGCTGTGGTGACGGGAAAAGGACACAAGTTTACATTTAGAAGGATTAAGGGTCATTAACCATGTGTTACACCAATTAAGCACATTGTTAAGATTGGTTTGGAGATACACATGATCATGCTGGTAACTGATAGTGTGATAAATGGCACAGTCGTCCGCGAAAATGCGAATGCTGCAGGATACATGATCAGGCTAGTCGTTAATATATATTAAGGGGAGACGCGGGTCGAAAAGTCGCGTTTTTTTTCCAAATTTCACCTTTTCTGTTTTTTGTTGCTTTATCATCTTTATACATTATATTTTGACATCTGAAAATATCACAGCGAAATAAGCATCAGAAGTCAGTGAAAAACGCGTCTGAGTGAGCGGCAGTGACGCGCGGCATCACGAAATTTACACAAAACGGGCTGCTGTTCGCGTGCTCGCGGGGCCGCGAAGAGAGCTGTCCGCCATATTGCGGCCGCTGGCTCGTGTAGAGTTGTCCTTACTCTCCACGATCCCGGTTCTTGAAGTCTCGTACGTTCACGAAAAATCTAAAAAAAAAAGCAACAAAAACAGTCTTTTCCCGCCGTTTCAAACCGCGCGCCACTAACGCAGGGCCGCCATTGGCTGACAGCACCCGTGTTTTCTTGCCGTAGTTCGCTTCACTGTTTCACGGAGTTATTTTTCGCTGTTTTCGTGCGATGGCAAGCCCGAAAAAGGCCGTTGCCGACCATCGGAAATACAGAAGTAAGAACAAGTTCAGAGGGAAGCGGCGGAGGACGTACAAGAAAGCCACCGCCAACGAAAATGTCCGCGACGGGCCAGCGGCCGGTAGGCCTAACATCGACCACGGCAACGTCGACCATGGCAACTGCGACGACGAGATCAACGCTGCAGTGAATTTTGTGAGTGCATCGCAGAAAAAGATCGCGTTATTCGAAAACGACGTCAGGCCGAATGCCGATCGTGCCGAAAGCGTAGTGCTGTGCGAGTTGGGTGCATTGACGGCCGTCGTCGCAGGCGCGGCATGCCCCGTTTGTCACGAGAGTAAACTCGCAGTTCGGGCACCAAATAAAAAGCGGAAAGGCCTTTCGGCGTTTCTGGAGCTACACTGCGAGAATGCGGAGTGCTCGGAGAGCATCCTTTCGTCCGCGTACTCGTCGAAGCGGGTCGCGTCAGATGGCGGCCGCGGTGCAAGCAGAAGCTACGACAGCGGGAGTTCGCGTGACGCCTTTGCCGTGAACCTGAAAGTGGTGCTTGCAGCGCGTGCCGTCGGTATCGGGCATGAGCAACTTTCACGATTTTGTGCAGTAGTTGGATTGCCAAACCCTATGCACCATAAGACCTTCCATGCTATCGGCAAAAAGATTCACAGTGCGGCAGTGAAGGCTGTCTGTGAAAACATGCAAAGGGCACGCAGCGTCACCAAAGAGGTGGCTGGTAACAGTGACGTGCCAGTCATGTTTGACGGCACATGGCAAAAAAGAGGCCACAAAAGCCACAATGGTGTGAGAACTGTAGTGTCCTTGGACACTGGTTTGTGCCTGGACTATGAAGTGCTTTCCAACTTCTGCCTGGCGTGCAGTTTGCATAACGACATGGGAGGCGATGAAGAAACATGGCAGGCGTTTCATCATCCCGTTTGTGAGAAGAATTGCGACTGTTCTTCGCATGCCATGGAGGCCGAAGCTGCAGTGCGCATTTGGCAGAGGACTGTGGACTATGAGACACCCCTGCGGTTCACCATCTTCCTAAGCGATGGAGACAGCAAGGCCTACAACGGGGTCTGTGATGCCAACGTGTACCCTGACACTCCAATTGAAAAAGAGGAGTGCACCAACCACGTGGCGAAACGTCTGGGCACCGGCCTGCGGAAGCTGCCAACGCCACTTCCACGAGGGGAGAAGCTGAAGGAGACCACCATCCAGAAGCTTCAAACTTACTTTCAGGTGGCCATTGTGAACAATCGGGGAAATGTCCACAAGATGTACACTGCCATATGGGCCTCATGTTTGCACTCGTGCTCAACAGACGGTGCTGGAAGTCACAAGTTCTGTCCTGCAGGCCCAGACTCGTGGTGCAAGCACCGACGTGCTGAGGCGCAGGGCCAGCCTGCACCGTGCCACACCCCCCTCCTGACCAAGGCCCAGGGTTTGGCAGTCCTCCCAATCTACAAGCGTCTCACAGATGCGAAGCTGCTTGCCCGGTGCCTCCACGGCAAGACACAGAACGCGGCCGAGTCCCTGAACAGCAAAATATGGCTGCTGTGTCCAAAGACCCGGTTTGCTTCCCGGACTGCTGTGGAAACAGCCACAGCCATTGCAGTCCTGTGGTTCAACCGGGGCCACGCGAGCTTTGAAAAGGTGCTGGAAGAGCTTGGGGTGCTTCCTTCGGAGGCCCTGGTTACCCTCAGCGACCGCCGAGACAGCATGCGCATGCACAAGATGAATGTGCGTCAGACCGCTGAGGCGAGGGCACACCGTCGCAGTGCAGCCAAGAGGGCCCGGGTGGAAGAGTCCTGCCGCACCAGCCGGGAAGGGAAAACCTACGGTGCTGGAGAGTTTTAGACAACTGATATTCCCTCTGGACATGTGTGTATGTGTTCAGCACA